TCCCTCCCTTTGACGCAACTCCCACCACCTCTGTGCTCATCATCAGCCCATCAACAACAGCAGTGACAGCAGTGACAGCAGCAGCAACAACAGCAGTGGTTGACACGACCACCATCAACAGTCTGCAAACCGGTTGAGCCATGTGGGCACTGCAGACGGCGTGCTGGCTGTCTCACAACACCCTCCTCTACGGGTCTGACCACTGATCGCAGCACGAGCACAGCAAACACCACCATGCTTGGTGGGCTGCGACACGGCGGATGCAAGTGGATCAGCGGCGTGGCTGTGGACAATGGCCTTTTCCTGCCACGGCATTCCATGCAACTCGCCATCCATCCTCATTGTCGATTCAGCCGCAAATGCGGTGGACACAACCACGCTGTCCGTTCCAGATGTGGTACGGTGGTGGGTGTTGGGTGGCAACGGCTTGCTGTGTCGCATGCCCTGGCTCGTCCATCACATTCCTCCTCGTCAATCCACGATGCTGACACAGGTAGGTGTGTGTGTATGTGTGTGTGTGTGTGTGCATGTATGTGGTGGAAGAGGGATGTATATGGGGTTGGCACGCACCATGTGCGACTGCTGATGCTTACACGCTTCCCCCAATCCTGTCTGTTCCATCTCATCACACCACTTCAGTGGATTCCACCACCGTGACGGCCTCGATGTGTCCATGCCACTCTTCTCCATGGTGACATTCATTCACACCGGAGCAGTGACGCGTTCCGCCCACACAAACAGGAAATACCTCGTCACCTTCAGGTCTGTGCATGCGTGCGTGTCGTGACGTGGTGCGATGTGAGGTTCGATGTTCACTGCTGCTGCTTGGGTTTTGAGGGGTTGGTGTCGCTCACTGCACCACCACTCGCGCTTCTTGTAGCCGCTGCAATCTCACTCCAAACCTGTCGGGGTGCCGCTGCTTGACGTGTGTCTTCTTTCCCTGTTGTGCAGGGGCACCACCAAGTCTGCTCGCTCTGATGCCATGCGCAACCACCTCCCCAAGCTGCACAATGGCAGGTGTGGTGTGCTACGCGTGCGATGTGTTTTGTGTTCTTGTGTGTTCCGTGTGTCTCGTGCGTTGCCTCGGGGTCAGCTGGTTTTGATGCTGTGTGTGTATCTGTCTGAATCCACCTCACACACACACACGCACACACGCACACATCGTCCCTTTGTATGTTTGCTCGAGTATGCGCAGGGACATTGTGTTGGTGTGCGCGTGCCGGTGGTTTTGCGAAGAGAGAATGGGCCGTGAGGGCGAAGGTTGGACATGACCCGTCATGTAAGCAGGCAGAGGAAGAGTTCAACAAGTACACGTACACGGATCTGGTGCTGGAGACCAAGTTTGGGCTCATCGTCGAAGGATTTGGCTACCACTCCTTCAGGTGTGTGTGTGTGTGTGTGTGTGTGTTGCAGACGATTTCGGGCCTGTTCGTGCTCATCATCCGCCTTCCATCTCCTGTCACCCCCTTTCATGCCTCGTAGATCATGGCTGCGGGTGCCATCCCCGTTATTGTCGTCGATCACTACGTGCTGGTGCGTATGGATGGATGCCACTTGGTGTGTGTGTGTGTGTGTGTGTGTGTGTGTGTGTGTGTGTGTGTGTGTGTGATTGTGTGTGTGTGTGTGTGTGTGTGTGTGTGTGTGGAGATGTACCCCTCCCGTCGCTCATGGCGCTGTGGTGTGATGTTCTGGTGTTTGCTTTTCGCATGCTTGCAGCCCTACCAGGACCTGCTGGACTGGGGGACGTTCAGCATCCGCATTCCCCGAGCACAGGCTCCTCGAGGTGTGGTGACAGATCGGTGACATGGGCATGTGAAGCGATGCGTGAGGGGTGATGCGTTTTGATGAGGGTTGTGGTTGGTGATGGCTTGCATGCATATCACGTCGCTCACACACACACACACACACACACACACACACACACACACACACACACACACACACACACGCACACACACACACACACACACACACATACACACACACACAACTGCGTTCAGCTTCCGAGGATCCTGCGTTCGATCTCTGATGAGGTCGTGGAGATGATGCAGAGACGCGTTGTGTTTGTGTTTGAGGAGTTCTTCAAGTCCCTCTCCACCCAAGTGCACACAGGTGAGGGAGTGAGTCCTTGGGACAGGGGGCTGTCGGGTGAGTGTGGTGAGTATGATGTGGTGTGTGCGTTGCTTGCTTGTTCTCGTGTCCATTCAACCACTCTCACCATCTGCCAACTCGTGTGTCATGACTGTGCTGTTTGCTACTGTCAGCGCTGCTGGAGTCTGCCAGGATCAACCTGTTCAGCGGCGACAACGCGTGGCAGGTGTGTGTGTGTGTGTGTGTGTGTGTGTGTGTGTGTGTGTGTGTGTGTGTGTGTGTGTGTGTGTGTGTGTGTGTGTGTGTGTGTGTGTGTGTGTGTGTGTGTGTGTGTGTGTGTGTGTGTGTGAAAGAGATCGTGTGCATGGGTGCGAATCAGCGCGGTCACCTCACAACACCTCGCTGCCATCACCAACACCTTCATGCGCACACACACACGCAAATGTTCGCAGGGGGAAGATGCAAGTGCAAGGGCTGGCGTACAACACGCCCAATGAGACAGACGCCACACGATGTGATGCAGGAGTCTGCATGGTGCAACACCCCCGCCCACCGACGAAAGGCGGCCAAGGATAATGCACCCATGTGATGTGTTTGCGCGCAATGACGATGATGATGAGGAGGAGGATGAGGAGGAGGATGAGGAGGAGGATGAGGAGAGGACGAAGATGTCTAACAGCGTAACCAAGATCAGCTTTGTCACTAGTTCGATAGTTCAGCCCACCTGTGTGTGGTTCCTCTGCGTCAGTACATGGAAGTAAACGCGTCGAGATGACACGATGTCAGCCAGGCAGTGAGTGTGTGTGTGAAGCAAAGCAACGCTGAAGACAAGCAAAAAGAGAGAAACACGAGCCAACACACCCACCACCTCCTCGAAGCAAGCAAGTCAGCAAGCAAAGAAGAAGAAGAAGAAGTAAACCGAATCAAGCCAAACCAAGAGGGAAGAGGGAAGTGAAGAAGAGACACCACCACAGCAACACAGCACGCCAAAAAAAAAAAAAGGGAAGAGAGCGACATCACCCGTGATTCCCGCCTGGTCACCCACGGCAGTACTGAACGGGCCCAAACGGGCTTAGCTTCCGCGATCGGACGAGAGCGGGCGTGATCCCGTTGGTATGAACGTTGCCGTCAGAAAAGCCTGACAAGCAATTTATGAAGGCAGAGCCAGCAAGCAGCAAGCAAGAAGAGGAGGAAGTCGCACACACACCAAAAAAACCAGCAGCAGCAAGCAGAAACGAGCAATCAACCGATTCTGCTTTCCAACCAACCAACCAACCAATCCACTCGCCGTTGCTTCATTCTTCTTCTTCTGCGCAGCAGCTGGTGTGTGTGTGTGTGATGGTGGTGGGAATGGTGATGGTGATCGTCGTCGTCGTCGCTGCTGACAGGCAGGTGAGATGAGTTGAGATGAAGTGAGGTGAGGTGAGGTGAGGTGAGGTGGGGATGTGTCTTTGGTTCGTGCCCACACACACACACGCACACATTGGTGGTTGTGCGTGCCACGTTCCTTCCTTCCTTCCTTCCTTCCTTCCCTTCGTCGTCCTCGCTGACGCATTCACACGCACACACACACACATGTGCAGGGAGGGTGTGCGCACCGTCTCTCCCCCCTTCTCCCTTCTCCCTTCCATCCATCCATCGTTGTCCATTTCCTTCTCCTGTGATGCACCACGCACAACCAACCACGCACAACCAACCAACCAACCAACCAACCAACGACCACATGAATGACCCATCCATCGACAGGTGAGGGTGAGATTGAGTGCTCCCACTTCTTCCTCCCACTCCGTGCTCCTCCTCTTCCCCCTCTTCCCCTTGCACACTGCACACAGCAACAACCACCATCATCATCATCAACAACAACAACAACACAGCGCACGCTGTCACCGTGCACACACACATGTGGACCACCATCCATCCACGCATCCGTACATGGTTGTGTGGATCACAACCAACACACACCGCAGCGTGTGGCACTCACAAATGCACACACTCACACTCACACACGCACTTGCTCACCGTTGTGTGGTGACAGAACAGCTGCCATCAGCCACCGTCATGCAGCGGCCACCCTGAGAATGGATCATGCAACCTCTCATCCAGTGAGCAGCACACACATGGGAGAGAGGGGGGAAATGGCATCAACCAACATCACAGCCAATGTGTATGTGTGTGTGTGTGTGTGTGTGTGTGTGCACGGGTTGTGTTTCTTCTCATCCTTCTTTCTCTTCCTCATTTCTCTGTCTGTGACACGCTGCTCAATGCTGTTGCTGCTGTTGCTTGCTTGTTTGTGATGGTGCGTGCAGATGGATGGATTACATCATCATCAACAGCAGCAGCAGCAGGTGCTGGCTGATGCGTGAGGCAGTGGGCAACCCTCACCAACCAACAATGACTGCGTGCTGCCGGATGAATGGTGATCGAGCCACTGCATCACCCAGACAGGTGTGTGTGTGTGTGTGTGTGTGTGTTGACGTGCGTGTTCTCTTCTCCACCCACCACACACGCCATCATCACCGCCTCATCTTCTTGTGTCTTTGCTCACCTCCTTCCCTCTCCCTCCTCAACACCATCACCACCACCCTCCACACGTGCTCGTTTCCCCTTCCTTCTTTCTGCTGTCGCCACACAGAGGGCCTTGAGCCAGCAGCTGTCACCCCCTCCCCCTCCATCAACCACCACTGCTCTGGTGGGATGAACAGACGGGCGCTGCCATGTAATGACCATCCAGCCACGCTTGTGCGATTGCGGAAACAGCAGCACCAACTCACACCACACCACAAACAAGCAAGCGATGAACAACGTGAGTGCATCACTGCATGTGAATGTGTGTGAGTGTGATGAGCACAGCGTGAGTGTGCGTGTTTTGTGGTCGCTGTCTCTGCTGCTCCTGTCTTCCCTTGTTGTCCCACATCAATGTGCATGCATGTGTGTCGTGCGGCTGCCTGTTTTGCCTTGCTTCATGTAGTGTCTCACTCGTCGTTCTCACACACAACTGCTTGCACCCCTGCGCATTCTCCACCTTGCAGTCACTGCTCGTCTTTCCCGCTCTTTCTCGCCCTCCCTGGCAGCCATCACAACACCAACAACAGCCAACACACCCTCCACCGCCAATGCAGCAGCAGCAGCACCACCACCACCACCATCACCACTTGCTGCTGAACACATCCCTCCGACCAACCAACCAGGCAACCAACCGATCGCCTGGCGGAAGCTGGCTGCCTGCAGCTGGGAACAGGTGGCGACAGCACAAGTTGCGTTTTCGGCTGGAAGCAGCAGCAGAGGTGAGGGCGAGAAGAAGAGGGAAAACGGAGAAGAGATGTGTGTTGGATGGATGGATGGATGGATGGATGGGGTGGGGTGAGGGATGCTGGGTGAGTGTCGTGTGGTGTGGTGTGGTGTGGCTGGCTGGCTGATGACAGAGGATGGTAGTGGTGATGGTGTGAGGAAGAGGGATGGATGGGGTGCAGCATGTCTTGTTCGTTCCCTTCTGTTTTCTGTTTTCTCTCTCTTCCCTTTCTCCTCCTTCACACACATGCATGCACAACACCAGCAGTGGCAGCAGCAGTGTAGCTGTGCACATATCCATGCTCCCTCTTCCCTCCCACTCACTCACCATGCTGGTGCTCGCACACAACCACACACTTACAGGTGATGCGCACGCACAAGCATCAGGATGAGGGAAATGTCAAAGGATACTTGTCACGCGTGCCAGCTGCACTCGCATCACACATGGTATGTGGGTGGTGATGAGTGGTTGGTTGGTTGGTTGTGTGATGGAGTGTGGGGACGGGGGTGTGGTGATGGGGTGAAGCGAACAAGGGGAAGAGGAGTTGACGGGGATGATGATCACATACACTGACATACACACACACACACACGCCCGCACGCACGTGGTGCGTGTGACGTCAATCACTCTTTCTGCTGTGCTGACATGATGGCTTGCTCTGTGCCTGTTGTGTTCTGTTCCCATCCACATTCCCTGCAACCACGCACATAAGCACATGCACAGGTGGTGAGGTGCCAACACACATCAGGATGTTGATGGAAGCGGACTCGCATGCCGGCTGCTGCTGCTGCAACTCCCCCGATTCGGCTGCCACTGCTGTGTTCATGCAGTGTTCCCATATGTGAGCGAGGTGAGCCCATCATGCATGCTTTGGTTGGCGTATGGTGCATGTGTTGCTGCTGTTGCTGCTGTGGGTGTTTGGTGTTGCTGCTGCTGTGCCTCGTGCACCAGTGTAGCTGTGCAGCTCACATGCCATGTGTGCTTGTGGATGCAGGGGAGCGACTGCCTGAGGATCGTTGGAGGATGATGGGCGGTGCATACACATGATGGGTTGGGAGCAGCAGCTGTGGGCACACACGTCCATGGTCGTGGTGGGCACATCCAACCACAGCGACGCAGTCATGCGCAGGTGTGTGTGTGTGTGTGTGTGTGTGTGTGTGTGTGTGTGTGTGTCGTGGGGCGAGGAGGAGGAAAGCAGAGGAGGCGCAGGAAGGTGAACACGCCTGCTGTGCTCACATGCCATGCCTGTGTGCTGTGTGTGATGATGTCGTTGTGTCTTGTCGTTGTGTGTTGGTTGCATGGGCACCAGGGCCACATCAGAGGAGGGGAAGGAAGCCGTCATGAACGACCCATCAGCATCAACCCTTCCCCATTTCTCTCTACTTTCTTTCTCTTCCACCTCAGCTTGGCCGTCACCACCATCGCCATCATCGCCGTCGACCGCACAGCCGCCATCACACGGCGGCCGACACCAGCTCCAATCTGGCGTGAGGCAGACATTGCACATGTCAGTCGCTCTGACGAACAGGTGAGCAATGTGCGTGTGTATGCGTGGTGGTGGTGGTGGTGGTGAGTGGGGACAACATGTGTGCGTGAGGTTGTGTCAATGCGGGTGGTTTGATGGGGCTGGCGTGTGGTTGATGATGCTTCGCTGTCAACCTCATCACCTGCATTCTTTTTTTGTGCGGCTATGCACACGCATTTCACAGCGTTGAGGAGGCGCGTGAAGCGGTGGAACCAACGACGATGACGATGACGATGACGAGTGATGAAGGTGAGAGGGCGACTGAGATGTGTGTGTGTGTGTGTGCGGTTGACATGTTGTGTTTCCTCCTTTACCTCCCTCTTTCCTTGTCTGTTCTGTCCACTCATGTGTCTTTTCTTCTTCTCCCGCTGTTTTCGATCAGGGCCATGCATCCTGTCTCCATCCAACCGACCAAGCAAGCAGCCGAGCGAGCGAGCAAAGGACACGGCATGGCAAGGGGCCGTTTGTTTTCACCGTTTCCACCAGTAACACCAACAACAGCTGCTGATGTGTGGCTGCATTGTGGATGAACTGGCCCTCTGTCTCTCGTCCATCTCCTGCTCCTCCTCGTCGTCATTGGTCACCAACAGCAGCGACTGCGACCATGGATGTGGAGGTGAGATGAATGGTGGTGGTGGTGACGTGGGTGGTGTGTGATGTGTTGGGTGTGAACATCAGCATGTGCGGGGGTGTGTGATTGTGAGGTGTAGGTTGGATGTCGTTGGGTCTGTTGGTGGTGGCAATGGGTTTTGTTGTCGTTGACAGTTTGATTCTGTGCCAACTCACCTCTTTCTCCACACGTTCACGTACAGGGGGTGTAATGTTGCTTCTATATTCTTCTGCTTCGTATTAAGATGATGATGATGCTGTCTCTTCCTCATTGGAGATGGATTGTTATATTTTTTTAGTAAATTATGAAGTAGGTGTAGTACTCGTAAATTCGCGTCAATTAGATCTATTTAAGTAATTTGATTT